TTAGATAACACAAGAAAAATTCTAAAAAAATGAATCCACCTGTAAACTAATCAGTTTAAATGTATGTTACAAATAAAAGAAGAACAAGATTGAATACAATGCACTAAATATTTACACAAAAATTAAACTGACTTTGTCTTTTCAGATGAGACTGGAAAAATTTGAATCAATTTGCACGCCGACTTCATGGGTACTGAAAGCAACAAACATACAGTATTTACCTAACGCTATCATTTTCTTACCTCCGGGTTGTCTGCGGTATCGACCGAGGATGATGTTCTTTTCTCCAGTTTTCGTATTCGTCCTTGAATATTTGTCATACTTTTTCAGATTCATTTGGCCAGAGCAAAGCACAGGATACAATTGCCTCTAATACCGACATACTGCGATCGGTTTCTTTTGTATATCGACGTCGATAATCAAGAGCATAGAAAAAGAAAGCACTACGCTTTTTCTTCATACCGACTTTACTTTGAATTTTTTATCTTAAATAAGGAAACGCAAACTCCCGTTATCATACGACAATAGCATAGTGCTCTCTTTACTACAAGAAAGAAAAAAATCAAGTTCGCCGAAACTAAAGGCACAATTCAGAAAACGAACTAGTTTTATTAGCTTTCATCAAAACTTATAAAAACCAAAAGTATAAAACGTAAAAAGTTACAAAAATACAGTCTAAATGTATAGTATTAGACTTTTTATAAGAATTTGACTGACATCTTTTTATTGTTTACTTAAACTTCTAAAACAGTTGTTAATTTTTTATCTAATGAATCATTCTTTTGTGGCACTGTTACATGTTCTGCTGATTGACGATCGTGACAAAAATGGCTTCTTGCTGCCGCCAAAAGTCTCGGCATTTCTACAGCACTACTATCAACGACATCACGATTTATTTCGACTAAGCCATGCAGTTTTCGCCGAACACAACAATAAATAATAAACCCAGCCACAACTAATACTGTCAGACAAATAAGATAAATATGCCAATAATCCAGCATATGATTAAGCCAACGACCGGGTGACGTCTAAACTCAAATATCATGTGATATTTTGACGAAAAGGTTTAAAAAATGTGAGTAATAGTGACAGTATGTGCACTCAACTTGAAAAGCAATTATGCAATAAACGTAAACGAATACTACTTACAACAACGTCACCACCACTAATAATAAGTTTTGACATGGTTTTCTGTGCACTTTGTAACACCGAGTCGTGTGCTTTCATGCGATCATCACCTGTTAGTACTGAGTTACCATTACCATGATGCACGACTGCTTGATTGTAGATGTTTGTTCCTCCAAGATTGATCACCATCTTTTGTAATAAATAAATACAGTTACTGTAAAGAAAAACAGCCTTTTTTCTTAAGAAACTTCTTTGGTTTTAAGAAAAAAGAGAAGTTTACTTTTGGGGTATATACTGCTAGAAACACTTTTTGCGCGTTCTTATGATACATGAAACGTTATCTGTCATGCAAGTCTTGCAATATGCAGAATCAACAATTGTTCATACCCGCCTGTAAAATTCCTGTTGTCATTATGAGATATATAAATATTTTTTCTTGAATCAAAACAACAAGGGTACGATATCAACAAGATGATCAATTTAGCCATATAAACGCTTCTTGTAATAGCACACTTGAGAAATGCAGATTATTTATCTAATACTTAAAACCAAAATACCTAACCAAAGAAGTTAAAGGGGTGAATGTCAGTAGAAGAAGCTTAACCTATCGAAAAACCAACTTGGCTGTTCATGTTGAATGTTATACATGACATAGCATTGTTTTACATTCGGTGCATTTGAGCGACAACTGATCGGGTGGGTAGGCCTACTCTTCCTAGAGAGGTCTTTCTCCGTAGCAGTGCACTAAGGTCGAACCAAATCAGTTCCTGAAATAAAATTTAAAGAGAGCACGCGAGTCATTATCACTCGGCTCGTTGAACAAAAGAGATAATTTGATTGAAACACACATTGTTGAAGATGTGGAAAGGAGACTGGAGAGGAATCCAAGATTCCAAATCCAAGGTCCAGAGGCACTAACACCAGCGAATAGACAATATTCGAAAAAAACAATAATGACACTTACTTGTCTTGTTTCGTTGCTAGTACTCGTCGAAAAATATATTCAGATGAAGTGAAGTAGACAAATGCATCGAGCATTTATAGTTTTGAAACATAAACAAGAAAAAGAAATCCAGCAGTGGAAGTTTTATTGTAATTTATCTATTGGATATGTTTTACGGATACATCCCTGATTGGTTTATC